TGCTGCTAATTATTTTGAAAATCTTGACATCGTCAGCAAACATAAGACATCTGGAATATGATATAATATTAGGAATGTCGTTAACATAAAGATTAAAAAGGAGGGGACCAAGAATTGAGCCCTGTGGAACACCGGAGCGGATAGGAAGCCACTCCGATGCAACACCGTCAATGACCACTCGCTGCAACCTACCATCTAAGAAACTATTAAACCAGGAAATAAAGCTATTTGTAAAACCAAAACGTTGTAATTTTAGCAATAGTAAACTATGTGGAACTAAATTAAAAGCCTTAGAGAAATCGGTATAAACTATATCACATTGCTTCCTGTCATCAATGGCTCCGTAGACTGTGGTCAGAAGGCTAGCAAGATTTGTTTCGCATGACCTACCGGTACCGGCCACAAAACCTTGTTGACAGAAAGCAATGGCACGTGAAACGTGTCGATGAATTCGCTCTTTCTGTTTTAGGGCAGCACGGACCTCACAATCAAACCATGGAGGCATTTTTCTCTTAGGTCGTATGGTAGGCACAAGGTCACGGAGGGCAGCGTGAACTAAATCATAGAAAAGAGAAACACTATCATTAATATCATTGCATGAATCAATTAAATCAAACGGAATAGTATTAAAGGTGCTTATGAGGTCTACATTATTTATAGCCTTGAAATTATAAATCTTTCGAGATTCTCTAGACAAATAATTTTAAGTACAAAAGTGAAACGTAAATGAGAGACACAAATGGTCGGAGTCAAAGATATTCTGACAAGCAGAAATAATATTATTGCAAGTGGAGCTATTATTGCACTGAAAGAGATTATGCCCATTAATGAAACAGTCAATAAAAAGTTCACCAATCGAGTTGGCAGGTGCAGTCCCAATTCCATCACTGGTCCACCGGATTTCAGGGGGATTCATATCACCAATGAGAATGACTTGATGCCTTGAATACATTGTTAGTGCATCTTCAACTGATTGTGCAATCTGTAATACAGTGTCTCTGTCATTATTAGGCGGCCTGTAAATAACTGCAACTAGCAAATGTCAAGCGCCGGGATTTATATTGATTCGATGCAAGGAGTAAAACACCACCTCCTCTTCTGCCATCATCTCTATCTTTTCTGTAAATAGTGGAGCTTGGACAGTTAAGTTCTGAGTCAAAAATTCTTGAGTTTAACCACGTGTCAGTAAATCCAACGAAGTCGAACGTGCGGTTTAAAAGATGCGCATTTATTCCGAGTGATATGTTTCTAATTTATTTTTATAATATAATAATTTTGATAATAAAATTTAGGTTTCTAATTTCCAGAGGAAATTAGGTGTGAAGCTTGCAGTAGAGTGTGCTCCATCATTGTTGTTTTTATTTATTTCTGGTCCTGGATTCTGTTCCACGTCTCCGCATAAAAGGATTTCAGGTTGAAAACAGGATGGGCAATAACAGCTAGAATAGTAAGGTACCTTTGCTCCGAAAAACCGTTTACTCGTTTTCCGTTTGTTTCTATTTTTAACTAGACTTGCAATCCCAAGGCTAGTAAACAATGAAATGAACTGAGTCCACTGTGGACGACTGTACAGGGCCTCAATGCATTCACTATTGTGTGTAAACTCTTTGTACAAGCTCTTAGTTGGGCTTAGCAAATGGTCAAGAGTTCCATCGAAAATACAGCACCATTGCACAGAAACTCGGTATTTGCAATATAACCATGAATTCCTAACACCATCAAAACCTGAGAAAACATCATTCGAACAGGTAGACAGGGCCAGGCCAATGAAACTAGATAAGAGAACTACAACAATCACGAGGTGCTTTACGGCGGCCATTTTATATATAATATTACATTCTTTTATCGGGGGTAAATTTATATTACATTCTTTTATCGGGAGTAAATTTCATGTACGATTAAAATCGAAAAAGTACTGGGTTTGGTTCACAGGATTTTGTGTTTCTTACAGGTCATTCCATTCATAAAGAAGAAGTAAAACATTAATTTTGTGCTATTTTCTCTACGATTCAACACACACACTGATAAGGCAGTTGGCGTCAGTTCGGCATATTGTCCCATATTTTCTCCAGAAATTAGAGTATCTCCCTGAATTCTCCAGAATATTTAACAAATATGTCTTATATAAATTAAAATCGTATAAATGAAAATATTCGGCAATTGTCGATATTTTTTTTGTATTACAATACATGTAAAATATTCCAGAGCGTAAATATTAAAAGATGAGTCAAATAGTAATGAATCTAGGCCTATCATAAAATTGATAAAACGAAACGCAAGTATTTTAAGCGTTATTTTAATTTAGATTGTATTAATTATATATTGAATTTTTATAGTTGGGAGTTAGGTGGTCTACACTACATCTGTAAAAGTACCTCCTTGGCCCCATCTCTTTGGAATTCATGGACTCACCTGTATTTGGAAAATGTAGTGTAGAAATAAATTTTAATTGCATTCCTTAAAATTAATTACATACCACTATATGTAGGGATCCCCCTCACCCGGGGCCCTTACCGGGGGACTTTGGGCGCACAACCCCCCCCCCCGCCCCCGCCAAGGCTTGGGCCTGCGGAACGAGACTTTCTGATTTTGCAATTCACCCCCACCCCCACTTTTTACAACGGATCGACGCCCTTGGCTGTATTGTAGTTAAGTACAATTTATTAACATATTTTGAGAGTAAATCTATATTAGAACTAACTGATATCGTTATACGTATTTAGTGTTGTGTTCCCACGTTAGATTTCCATCTATTTCTAGTCCAAGGTACGGTATCGTAATTGAACATTTTCAATAAACTGATCTCCAATATGGATATTTAAATTATGGGAAGAAACAACGTGTTTGTTTTTTATTAAAGCATACTTTTAGTGGTTTTTTTTCAGTGTTCATTTTTAATTTGTTCCTCGTATCATTCTTGTTTATTATTCATTATATGTTGAAGGTTTTTTTTTTTATTTATTTCAGGAATAGTTTTTCCTGAAGCATACAACAACATTTCAACGTTTCTTCATCTGCACATTTCATTATACCTCGTTACAACAGGAGAATTGGAGGTTTTTCATTTCCTCGTTATGCTTCTAAACTTTGGAATAATAATTCAGCTGACATTTGAGATATCTCAGATCATACTCGTTTTAACGTGCACTCAAGAATTAGTTGTTTGCCTAGCCTCTTTTGCTCCTTTTTCCTTTTGTGTTTTTATTGTTGTAATCTGTTTATTTGTCACTTTGTTGTTTGCGTGACTGTACTATTGTAATGCATGGGGGTTCCTGAATAATGGCTGCTTTTGTGTCTACCATTGTTTTCAATATTCATTTTTCTTGATTTTTTGTCTCCATATTTAACTACTTGCTTCCTTTTACTGAAGTAGTTTTCAAACCATTTGATTTCGTCGTATTTTAACCAATAGTTGTATAATCTTTCCAACAACAGGGCGTAATTTACGGTAACAAAACAATTTGAGTAATTAGTTTGGTAATTAGTTTGTTTGAATGGAGCCAGTGAGATATTGCGTAAGGTTTTGTGACAATTTTAGTAGGCATTGATATTATTAATATAGGAATCAGAGATATGAAGAATAGTGTCATCGGCGTACATTTCAGTGATAGAATAGTGATACATATGCTGATGAAATTTTAAACAGTTTGCTATCAAAATCAATTAGGTCATTTTTACTACTGTCAGATAAGTGCTTTTTCAAATTCATGTTTTCAAATACATAATATGTTAACTGAATGCAGATATTATTAAGTTTTTCCCAGTTATTTTTTGGTTTTAATCGAATGCTTCTGATATTCTCTTTCCTATGCTTGCCATAAGTATATTTTTGTTTCCTTTATCATAATTATTCATCCATGCTGCATCTATTTCTCCAAAGTTTATATTGATTTTTTTTTCAGTGAACTAATGGGATTAATTCCTTTACAATGATTCCTCCATATAAGTCACACTTTCATATTCTAAAATAACCTAGGCGTTGATTTTTAACTTCTATATTTTCGGGAGGTGTAAGTTGGTAAGACTGTAAACTATTTTTTATTAAGTTGATTGCTTTATTTTACTTGAATTTGGCTCCTGTGAAAATAGGACAGAAAAGACAGAAAATCATTTGAAAAAAGAGACGTGACATCAGAAACAATTTCAAAGAATAAAATTTAAACCAAAACACCCCACCCTTCTCCATCAATTTGAGACACATGTGGAACAGTACTCACAAGTGTTCTAGTAATTCTCCAGGGTAACTAAGCCTTCTGAAGTTGCATGTATATCATTGAAGTTGAAATCTTTATTAATTAATCGAAATATTTGTAATTTATTGAAAAACACACTACATTATCGAACACAGCGTGGGCTTAAGGTTGGTCGGAGGGCCGAAGTATATTTTTTTACGTAACACTGAGGACCACAAGGATAATGTGAAAAATTGTCGCGTCAAGTGTGCTTGAATAACCTGTAAGGCCTGTTTATACTTCAACGATAACGATAAAGATAAAAAAAAGCTAAAAAGCAATTGTTCATATAGAAAATAAAAGAAATAAGAAAAGTTTATACACTAGAAAGATTCGACAACGATTTATCAGATATGCGATAACAACAAATTTTGACAACTCAAATCGGATGACGTCATAATCATAGAAAAACATTAAAATCGTAGTAGTAGCAACAATTTATCGTTTTACCATGATTATGACGTCATCTGATTTGGTATGTTAAAATATTTTATCGTATACACGATAAATCGTTTTAGAATCGTCCTAGTGTAAATCTTCTCTTATTTCTTTTGTTTTTTAAATGAACAATAGCTTTTTAGCTTTTTTATCTTTATCGTTGAAGTATAAACAGGCCTTTATTCTCTACTTTTATACCACTTTATTCTCTGTTTAATCAGTACTGATTGACCCGTGTCCTCTAATGCTACTTTACAGAAGGGCACAGTCTAAGAAATGGTCGGCTGCGTTCCATTTAGATTAATGAAATGGTTAAGTCTTCAAATCTATTTCTTTTATTCTAATCAAGGCCAATACACGTTACGCATATAACTGGCTATTATAGTTAAATACAGTTTTGAGGATGAATAATTTACCACATACCAGCGATCACGCATTTCAGCAAGAATAGAAAAGTAACATCGGGTTCATATTTCAACAACTAAGGTAAGTTAAAAGCAAATGTATATGTGTGTGGGGTCTGTGTGTGTGTATGTGTATTTATGCATGTATGTATGTAGGCTATGTATATGTGTATGTATTTGTAGGCCTATTATGTATATGTAGGGTGTGTATGTTTGATTCACATCAACTGACCGGTTTTTGAAATATCCTGTATAGACTGTTTGACTTGGTCATCACACGCACACCCTGTAACATTTGTTAATGTAAAAACGACGCATAATGTAATAAAAAATAATTGGTTAATGCATAATGTAAAAAGGTTTGACGCTTGATGTAAAAAAAATAACGCTTAATGTAAAAGCCAACGCATATTGTAAAAAAATTTTGCTTACGCATAATGAAAAAGCTTTTAACGCATAATGTAAAAACATTTTCTAACGCATAATGTAAAAACCCATCAACGCATAATGTAAAAACTTGATGATTTGTGCTTATTGCACAAAATCTCACTTTTCTATCCAAATACTTAGTTTTAACAAACAAAACTTTTAGCTTTTTCCCCAAAAAGCAAACAACGTGGGTCTTTTTATCCATAAAAATAAAACAATTTTCTAGCTGTTTGAACCTTTTCCGAAGGCCACACATCGTCACACACTTCCAGCATGGGGTCGAGGAAAATGTTTGCATCCTGTTTTTTATGTTGTAAATTCATTTGTGACTGAAGTGTAAATTTGGAGTGTAATTCAGAGTTAATATGGATTATTTAATGGATAATAAATAATAATTCAATAAAGTTGTTCAAATAAAAATGTTTTGATATATTTTCTTTCTCATCGGATACACAGTTGAAGTTCGGTTTCCTCTGATTATCAGAGTCATCAATTTATTTAAATGGTCACTAGTATGTCTTGTGTAGTAGAATATATGAAACTTAAGGTTCAGATAGATGGTGTAGATAATATTTCGGTTTTTTTTAAATTTAATACGCTTCTTCAAAATATAATATGTACATGTAGTAACTGCAGAAAAATATTTTTTTTAAATATATACTTTCAAAAAAAAAAAAAAATTCAAAAAATACCCAACCAATACGCTGTGTAAAAATTACAGAAAAAAATAAAAAATCAAAAAAATTAAAAAATGTTTCCAAATATTTTCAAAAGAAAATTCCAAAAATTTCGAAATTAAATTCATGAATTCCCAAGGAAATTTTTCCGAAAATCGCCAAAAAAAATAGATAAATAAATAAAATTAAAAAAATTAATAAATAAATCTTAAACCTAAAAAAAAAAAGAAAAAAGAAAAAAAATTCAAAAGGAACCATCTAACCAAATTAATCCAAATTACCCAAATTAACCAATTGGGGATTTTTTTTCTGTAATTAATACACAGCATATTGTTTGGCGGGGGTGGGGGGATTTTGTTGAATTTTGAAGAGAAATAAGTATGACCCACATCATCTATCCGAATGTCCAATATTCTCCTTTGTTTTTTCCACGTTACAAACGGTCTTCCGTAATATTGAAACCTGCATTTATCCTAGTCTGACCTTAGTTTAAACTAGGTGTATAATAATGTCGCTGTCTTGGTTTTATACATCGATCATTATGACTTACGTGTTTCCATCGTGCTTTTCCCCGATGAATTTAGCTAGCGTCAATGGGCGTGGAGGTACATTTAGTAATTGTTTACAATTTGTCCAAGAAGAAGCTCTAAGATACAGGTGAACCGTTATGTTGCACTTACATCAACCGACAGGCAGGCAGGTATCATTAGTAGGTTAAAGTAACAGGCGTGAGGGAAGGGAGAAGACTTGTTTTTACATTATGCGTTAATAGGTTTTTACATTGTGCGTTGAAAAATGTTTTTAATACATTATGCGTCAAAAAGTTTATACATTATGCGTTAGCAAATTTGTTTACATTGTGCGTTGATTTTTACATTATGCGTTATTTTTTTACATTAAGCGTCAAACCTTTTTACATTATGTGTTAACCACTTTTGTTTTACATTCTGCGTCGTTTTTACTTTATCGGTTGTTACACTCCCCACCATAGATTGACACTAAATATTAGGAGGCACGTTCTTGATATTTGGCCTATGCTTCGGCTGATTATATAGCAGAACCTTTATGTTTTATCTTTAATTTATCCTTTACACAGGGCAAGTTTTCTGCAGCATAACACGTAGTAGGGTAACTCCATATGAAAAAGGGACAAAGTTAGTTTTTTTTTTCAATTATCGCCCAATTTCGGTATTACATAAAACATTATAAACAACAGAATAATGAATTTCTTTAAAATTTTAATATATTGTACAAACACCAATATGGTTTCCATGAAAAACACAGTGGAAAATTATCTTTAATTAATTTAAATAATAACTTACTTCATCAGCAGATTGACGAGTGGAATATTTATAGATTTTACTAAGGTCTTTGACACCATTAACCACATTATTTTACTTTCTAAACTCAAAACATTATGGCGTTAGAGGAAATCCATTGCTCTGGCTTTCAGATTATTTAAGTCAAAGTCCGTAATTAGTGTCTGTAACTGGAGTCACCCCGTGACCCGTGGTGTATACCACATGGATCAACAATTGGTCCAACACTGTTCTTAATTTACATCGGATTTACTGAATTCATCTAAATATTTTGATTTCCGATTATTTGCAGATGATTCAAAATTATTGCATAATTTTCAAAAGAAGTAAGCACTATAAATCTGCCTTTAGTTAATTATCAGTTTAAGAAAATTGTTGATTAGTGGGATGCAAACAAGGTAACAATAAACGGAAATAAAACTAATTTTATTAATTTTCATGGGAAAGGTAAACATATTTCATTGTATGGTTGTTCATGTGTCAAACCGGACAATAAATGAGGTAGATGACGTTTTTTTTTTTTTTTTTTGTTGGATCTACCCTAGACAAGCACTTAACTTGGAAAGCACACATTATAATGAAGTTAATCAAATTATTCGAAAGAAATCTGGAATATTATTTAAACTAAGAAGCTTTGTACTAAATTATATTGTAATTATATTATATAACGCATTTATACAACCCAATTTAATATATGGTTTACAAGTCTAGTGTATACTAATACATATTTTTACAAATTTATACCCCATTTTAATTTCCCAGAAGAGTGTATGCGTTCCATAACATTTTCTAGATTTAGGGAACCATTATCTCCCATATATGCTCAACTAAGCCTTTGAGCTATTTTCAAACTCCCTAAAAATAAGGTAAACTTATTTGTAATTTGATTTATATCATCTTTATTTTTCACCTAGTTTAAATGATTATTTTGAAACATTGGCTCATTGTCAAAATACAAGATTTAAGTAGGCCCGATGGTAATAATTTCTACGTAAAGAAAATGAACAGTCACCGGCCAATTGGCAGTGTCATTTGCTGGTTTAAAACCTTTTTATGTAAAAGTTTTCTAGCTATTTCAAAATGTATGAAAAATCGAAGTTTTTTTTTTTCTGATATCTGACAGAAAACCGTAAGATGGCAAATTTCTTGAGCTTGACTAAAGTGTGTGTCTTGATATTAGTGACTGCAACTCAAGTCGGTTTTTCTCTCGGTCGTAAGTAAACCTATTTTTTTTTATTCATTTATTTATTCATTTTTTTTCTTATTATTTCTAAAAGGTTAAAAAATAGAAAAACACATTGATATACAATTAGTATTAAAATGGGGCATATTTTACTTATTTGTGGTTACTATTCCTGTCTTCCAACTTGTTCACAGTGTTTCTAAAGGCAAACTCAGACAGCGTCGTACGACGCAACCCGACGCCATTCATTGTCGGGGACAGTCTTAAGCCGTCGTGAGAAATATTAAACATGTTTAACATTCTACGATGCGACTGCTTTCGACGCAAATCATACAGAACCGACGCGGCAACAAATCGCGTCGGGCTGCGTCGTACGACGCTGTCTGAGTTCGCCTAGAGCATACATGTCGTAAACAGCGGGTCTTAGTTGTTTTTTACTTACTATTTAACTCGGTGTTTCCAATTCAAAGAAAATCAGCATTCAACGCACTAAAAGCAAAAAGGCATGCGAATATTGATCGCAATTGTATGATCCACAAGGCCAAACAGTGCTTTACCAGGAAGCTAAATCATTTTAGACGTATTGGCATTTTACAGTTAATAGTTGGATAAAAAGTAGAAACACCACACTGAGAGTCCTGGAAGCCTTCCTGTATTCTGTTACCTTCGACTTACGTTGTTCTGCATTGGGTGTTCTGGTTTACATGCACACGATATTCCTATTTAATCTACTTTTCCATGTTTCAATGTAGATTTTTAAAGAAAAAAGTAAGATATTTAGTTTAAATTCTATTAGTTAACAATCAAATTATTACTAAAAAATCTTTGAAATATTGTTATGTATCGTTGAGTTTTGATGTCACCTAGTTCTAAACTTTAAAATTCATATTTGATATTTTACGGTACTTTTCCGTGCTTTCTATACTGGTTTCTTAGACGAAATGTAAGTTAGTAACTTCAATCAGATCTACAATAAGTGTTATGCATATCTTTTAATGTAGGACTGTCACTGAGTTTTCATATCATAATCTTGTGTTTTCAGTACGTTCGTAACAACTAAAATTGTATTTTCACTCGTATTAGGCCCTATTAGTAGTAATAGAGGAGGATTAATTCTAAATTTTACAAATGGCCGTGCTATATTTTTTAAATAAATATAAGCTATCAATCTTCCACAGGTGAGATCATGTTTGCGGTAAATGTTAAAGGCATTTCTATTTCGGATATCGATCACTCTAATCCTTCTGTTCTTAATTTTACGGAAATTCTGGTCGACCCTATGTCGGAACCGAACTATCCTGTCTACAATCCACTTACTTCAACTTTGTATTTCGGGAGCGAGTCAAACATTTTTAGATATTCTCTGAAAAACAAAAGTTTGGAAACATTCATTTCTGCAGGTAAATGTTATACTAGTCTAAATCTTGTCCAGTTTTTATCAAATTTTCTTTGACAAAAAACTGTTATATGCCCATATACTCATGATGTGCCTATAATATGGTCAGTATGTCAACATGTCATCATGACAATATTTTAGACATATCAATAATGTATGAATATGTCAAGTACGATAATATATTTATATAGGCCTACATTAATTGTACGGGTATACATCTTGGATGAGACGTTTTGCTGTTATAAATTTAACAAAAAAAGTGGCTGTTCAAATATGTTTGCTTTACTGGTAGTGGGCGTATGATGCATGGTATCGTAACTCACCTGGCTGGGACTAGCCAACTGTTTTTATAGATTATTTTGATTGTATATTTTAGACCAATAATTTTTATTTTTAAGATTTAATGCCCTTTAAATGCTTAATTCAATCGTTGTTTGTCACTTATTATCCACAATGAACTTATTCCTTCTGGTTTGTCACTTGTACCCATAACGTCTCTATAATCAATTAGGCCTAGGCATAATATGAATAAACTATAATATATTATATTTATCATTGAAAATGGGTCAAACATCTTTTCGATTACAGAAGCAGAACACTATTTTTATGCAATGGATATTGACGTCACTGAACAGAGACTCTACTTTCAAGAAAATGATATCAACGGTTCCCATATTGAGGTCATTAACTTAGATGGCACCGACAGAAAAACATTTATGTCTAATGTTATAAATACTGCTGAAGAAATACAAATAGATGCAGTAAACGGGTAGGATACACATGTTGGTTTGTATATACTAATATATAAGCCCATTATTTAATTTCTTAGGCAGCCTCTATCAAAAATTATCTCTTAGCGCACGAGTATAAAATGAAGATATGTAGGGTTTTTTTATATAACTTTTGCGCATGAATTGTTTACCTGCTTTCTCATATTGTTGTGTCATATGGCCAAATAAAAATATATTTTTGTACTTTGGTCTGGTGGCGCTAGCAGAGGCCACCTTGACATTCCCCCTACTCTTTCGTTGGACAGGCTTAGACGTAAAAATAAAATGAAATTGTACCTATCGAAAATGCGCAATCAAAGACGTCGTTCCATCACTGCCTCCACCTTTTTCTGACCACCATTTTTGACCACCTCTGATTTTTTATTTGTGCATTTTATTATCTTTATTTATATATTTATTTAATTTATTCAATTCTCAACCAACAGCGATAGAAACTTACATAAACAGGTTGGAGAAAATACATACACAAAGAAACAAAACATATGGTACAAATTTACATTAACAATGTAGGCCTACTACTAGGCCTATATCAGTCATGAGATAAAGAATGATAATATTAATTCCACATTTTAATTCCTTAATTTGTTTCTATTTCAAAAATTTGATTAAAAAAAAATTAATCCTCTGTTAATTTTCAGACCCTTAAATATTACCTTTTCTGTATTCTTTTGCACAGATCCTTAAACTCAATCTGTTTCTGGTTGGAAGCTTTAATTAATTTGATCTTTTAAAGGGGCTATTCAAAATTGCATTTGAATTTTTAAGGGTATTTTTTCCTGTTTCCTTAACGTCTAAACTGCGGGGTGCATCAAGGTTCCATTTTAGTGCCCATCCTTTTCTTATTATACATCCGTCCTCTTGGGCATGTCATTTCGAAACACGCATGCAGATATCACATGTATGCAGATGACACCCAACTGTACATAGCATTTAAGCCAGAGTCACTTGACGATGCAATCTGATCTATTGAAGGATGTTCAAATGATGTCAAGTCATGGTTGGCACTGAACATGCTATGTTTTAACACTAGTAAAACGGAAGCATTGAATATCCACTGGCGCTATCGCAAAATCTTACCGAATGCATTCTGCATTGATTGTTCCATATGTTTCTGTTTGTAATATTGGCGTTACATTTGACTCTAAAATGATAATAATTAAATTGATTGGAAAAACTTTAAAATTTGGTTTTAAAAAAAAGTTTTATGTATATATACTATTATTTTGAGAATCTTAAGATTTTTAAAGCAATCTTGGGATATTTTAGAATGAATCTTGAGAATTTTTATTTTTCCCAGTGGTCACACTGGATACCGCAGTTTGGCCGTCTCGATGGATTGTCCCGCTTTTCGGGGTCGTGTCCCGCTGTCCCACCCAAACCCTGAATGGTCCCACTTTTCAACTTTTATAAATAAAAATAATCACGATAATACCAAGACTAAACTCTTAAATATATGGCCCTCACAGACGACGAGCCGTGTTAATATATTGATTAATAGCGATACGAAAAAGATGTTTATCAGTTTAAATAATTTATGTGTTTGTTTATTTTATGTTTTTTTTTTCTTATTGTTATTATACTTGGTCGATGTATATACATTTGTATACAAATATGTATATACAATATATATATACAATATATATATACATATATATATATATATATATATTCCGTAATTTTTTCTTGTGGCTTGGTTGTTAGTCTGTGTTTCGCGCCCTATGGCGGTCATCAGACAACTGACAGCCTAACGTTGTTACTTGATGTTATACCCATTTGTCACCTGTTTCTTTCCCTTTCATATTTAGATTTGTTGTGACGGCACATAGTGATGAGCTCGTTTCTTTTGTTAATTGTGTTGGGTTCTTTGTTGCATATGGAACAATGTTCCCGACGGTTATTTGGACCTGTTCAACCATGAAGCCTTCGTGGTCTAGTGGTTATGACGCTCGCCTTGTCAGCGAGAGGTCGCAGGTTCGAATCCCCGTCGGAGGCATTTTATTACACAATGAGTTTTATAGGACTTTATTCGTTGAAAAGCTACATGGTAGCCTACGATGTTCCATCATCTCCTTATTTACACTGTATATGTACCTTTGATGATTTATATTATATTTATTCAGCAGTGTTAACGGTTAACGTCCTTCAATATCATATACAATATACGACAGTATTTATTTCTAACCGTTTCTCCAGATAATCTATCTGGCCGAACGCCCTCTTGAGGAGCACCATTGTGACATGTAATACAATGTTCCCGACGGTTATTTGGACCTGTTCAACCATGAAGCCTTCGTGGTCTAGTGGTTATGACGCTCGCCTTGTCAGCGAGAGGTCGCAGGTTCGAATCCCGTCGGAGGAATTTTATTACACAATGAGTTTTATAGGACTTTATTCGTTGAAAAGCTACAGGGTAACCTACGATGTTCCATCATGACCTTAATTAACACTGTATATGTACCTTTGATGATTTATATTATATTTATTCAGCAGTGTTAACGGCTAACTTCCTTCAATATATATATATATATATATATATATATATATATATATAAATCAAGGTAGCCGTTAACACTGTTAAATTATATACATAAATCATCAAAGTGTATGCTATTATTTGTTTCTAGCCGTACTTATTGTGTAATGGAGTGTATCTGGTATTATTTGAATCTGTTTAACCATGTAGCCTCTGTGGTCTAATGGTTATGACGCTCGCCTTGACAGCGAGAGGTCGCAGGTTCGAGTCCCGCCAGAGGCATTTTATTACACAATTTCTTTATTCATTTATTTATTTATAGGACTACATCGTTGCGAGCTATGCTACATGGTGTATTATTATGTCATTTATTCGAACACTGTATTTACCGTTCTTTGATGATGTATGTATATAATTTAACAGTGTTAACGGCTACCTTGTTGATTTATATTTCAGTGTATGCTATTATTTGTTTCTAGCCGTACTTATTGTGTAATGGAGTAGTATCTGGTGGTATTTCAATCTGTTTAACCATGAAGCCTCCGTAGTCTAATGGTTATGACGCTCGCCTTGACAGCGAGAGGTCGCAGGTTCGAGCCCGCCAGAGGCATTTTATTACACAATTTCTTTATTCATTTATTTATAGGACTACATTAGTTGCTAGCTATGCTTCACGGTGTATTATTATGTCATTTATTCGAACACTGTATTTACCCTTCTTTGATTATGTATGTATATATATATATATATATAAACAAATCCGCTCTATTTTTTAAATCAAATTTTTACAGAAAATTTTGAATTCTCTATTTTTCGGTTTAATTTTAAGCAACTCAATCATATTTTTATAAATTTCCTGTAACTCTGTCCTTTGCAAATGTCCCTCTTGTCTCCCTTGCATATCTTGTAATTTGGAGTTTAGGGCATTCCTCTGTTCCTTTATCGATTAATTTTTTTTGGTTTTTGTATGTTGCATTTGAATAAAGTGATGAAAATATATATATATATATATATATATATATATATATATATTGTGAAGGTTTTGATTGCTGCATTGTGAAACAGTGCTCAATCCCACTGAAAAATCTATCTCTTATACACATCTAGATGTGTATAAGAGACAGATTATGCACTTGTCAATTGTAGTCCAAACTTCCATGGAAACTGCTAAGTGATACGCACGCGTAGTGCTTCCATCAAGGAACCTCATCTCCTTGGCCTAGGTATATATATATATATGTATATATATATATATTTATATATATATATATATATATATAAACTTTATTATATTTACTGAGTATTTTGTATGTATACAAATTATCTGTAATGTTAATCACATTTTTTCCCGCTTTTGAATAAAAAATTCCCGCTTTCCGCTTTTGAACGTTCTGGGGTTGGAATGTCTGCTGAAAGCAATATAGTGCAGAAATTCGACCAATGAGTTAGAACGAAAGAAAAACGCATTTCCAGGATATGCAATCCATTCGACTACCCTAATATTACTTACGCAACTATAAAGTCTACCAAATGTTGCTGTAATGATCACTTGCCGATTAATTATTCCATTCATTAAAAAAAAACCACAAAACCTTCGTGAAAGTTAGCGTAGCCTCACCGTAGGGTAAACAGAAAATTCATAAGCCTATTCGAGGCCCTTTAAATCGGCAGAGGCGTTCACTTTTAAGTTCTGGGCAGCGCGCTCGCACATGGCAACATTTGAAGAGACGAGTTTATAAATTGAATGAAAATAGAACAAATACAATTTCTTAAATATTTATTTTTCTTGTCGATTCCTAATATATGTAACTATACATACAGTATGTGAGTGTTTCATCAATGTAGCTTTCATATTTTTGGCGCAACAAAAATATAAATAACCAAGACAGTGTATTAGGATAATGCTTTCTGCCTCCAGTTAGAGCGCCGCCAGCGTTTCAGTCGGATCCAATCAAAGATCTTATACTGTAAACACAAGATAGGGTATCTCCGCGATTTACGAGCAACAAAATAGAAGTGTCGATTTGGCAGCAGAAAGTAGGCCTAATCATATTTGGGAAAGAACGTCCTACAGTAGTTGTTGCCAAGTTCGTTACCAAGTATGTTACTGTTCTTTAATTGTAAATCGACGATTCTAATTGTTACGCGTAAAGGTAAAATCGCGCAGTGTACGCCATGTTCAAAGCAGTTAAAGTTCAAAAGTTTTCATTTTTGCAACAAGAGGGCGCTGTACACTGCGTTCTTACAGAATTTGCACGCGGAGAACGTTATGTTGTGTTTATATTAAGATCTTTGGTCCAATGTAAACATTGAAAGGGAAACAGTTAAAGTGTGGGCAAAGTGTGGCAAGAGGGCCAGATGTGGCCTGCAAATTTGCTGCTGCCTTCAAAAAAAAATAATTAAAAAAAAACCTGTTCAATGCTATTTCCGGACGCAGATCATTATGTAAAAGTAATATTAAAACTTAGCACAAAAGAGCTATAAAATGCATTTTTTGTATCTTTTTTATCCAATATCTATTTAAAATAGAATAACTGAATAAATTGAGATGGCTATTAATATTCCAACACAATTTCAAATAGGTTTTTTTTTATATTACATTCATAAGCATTGAAATCTTTTAAGTCACTTTTAAAAATTTGAGCTGGACAAAGTGACTGCATTGACAGAAATTCTTAGTTTAGCTGTGTAAACTGATTGTTTATTTCTATTTTAATTTGATATGTTTGATATCTGTTGCATCAACCTGTTTACTTATGTTAGGGCCATATACGACATTGTGTGGTTATGGAAAAATATGCCGGATATACTCTACTGACACTAGATACGGTTTTCTTTTGTATTTAGTTATTTGTACTATAGTACAACCGGCAACATTATCATTCCTGCGTTCATTGCTCGAGCAAGATTGGATAATTCAGTTTACCATGATATACTTGTAAATACTAGCCTTATTACCCCAAGATTTGAATTAGATGTTGAAGGTAAGCTAATGTGAAATCTCAAACATGAGTTAAATTACAAATGGAAACATATACTGTAATAATGTTAGATGACACTGCTACTTAACTAGTCATTTAACATTATCATTGACAAGCTACATAATTTGTTATGGTCCCACAAAAATATACACAACACGTGTTTGTGGGACCAGTGGGACGCGTGTGTATTTAAAGCTATGTTGTGAAGATTTTGCCAGTTAATAAGTTTGTCACTATGGAAAGGTCCATTAAACTTTGGTTCACACTAAACCAATTTAGAAGTATCTTAAACGGCCTGAAAGTAGAAATAAAACCACTTCAAACCGGTTATGCATGATTACGCAATAATAATTTGCATATGCGGGTATATAAATTTTCATATTTTGCTGGTATATTAATTTGCATATACTGGTATGTTAATTTGCATATGCTGGTATATTAATTTATATATGGTTGTTTATTAATTTCCATAATTTTGATATATTAATTTGCATAATGCGGGTATGTAAATAATAACAATATTGATAAAATTAGTATTAATTTCCATAATGCTGATATATTAATTTGCATAATGCGGGTATGTAAATAATAACAACATTGATAAATAATAACAATATTGATAAAATTAATATAAAGTTGAGATTGCCTCAACTTTAAATAATAATAATGATAATAGTAACAGCGAGTATCGTTGAACAGTTTAAATGTCCTAGATAAAGGGTATATTAATTGTACAAAATGGGTTTTTTTAATGATAAAATTGGGTATCACTGAGCCTCTTATCTAAGTAGTTCTGAAAAGAACTGTTGTTGTTAGGAGGCTCAGCGATACCCAATTGTTTCATTAAAAATATACCCATTTTCTACAATTAATATACCCTTTATCTAAGACATTTAAACTGTTCAACGATACTCGCTGTTACTACAGTAATATTATTATTATTATATTAACATTATGGAAATTAATAAACAACCATATATAAATTAATATACCAGCATATGCAAATTAATAAACCAGCATATGAAAATTAATATACCAGCAAAATATGAAAATAAATTAATATACCCGCATATGCAAATTATTATTGCGTAATCATGCATAAGCGGTCTGAAGTGGTATTATTTCTACTCCTGAAATATTACGCATACCTCATTTCACTCGATTTTCCTGAATCCAAATTCAGACACACGTCACTAACGCATACACAAGCAAAAGTTGTATCATATTTATTGTCACAAATCAAAGTATACATTCAATATACAATATTGTAAGACAAAAAACCCCCCAAAAAAATCTTTCGCTTATCAAGTTTTGGCCGAGAAATTATAACTGAATTAGTAACAAGGGCAGAGTAATAATAATAATCATTATATATAAAATAATAATTTAAATATCTTAATAATAGTAATAACATCAAATAAAAACAAATAAAAACAATAATACACAATTTAATATCACTGATGTGCCATAAAAAGAGCTCTAAATAAATAAAGATGTTCTTATAATCAAAAGAAATACATTGCTAATAGGTATTGCTTAACTTTAAAAGTAAAATTTGTCCTTGACGAGAGTGTTTTAATATCTTCGGGTAGATTGTTCCAGAGTTTTGTACCATTATAGATTACACTAGACTGTGCAAGTGATGTGCGGAATTTTGGGATAATTAAATTAAACGGGTTGTTAAATCTTGTATTCTTAGAATGTGTTACTAATATAAAATACATCAATGGTATGTGGTAATCTACAATAAAAAAAGATCTGATACAAACTTCAGTACATATAAATCATACAACTTAAATACATTTAAAATAATAAGTTGCTTAAACTTAAGTGTAGAACGTGCTTTGAAATCAGAAAAAATAACACAACGTACATGTACTGTACATACATTTTTTGAATAAGTAAAATTTGATTTAATTAAGATGAGCATGTACCTCCCCAAACCTCGATCCCATATGTTAATAGCGGCAGAATAAAAGAATTATAGATTAACAGTAGGATATATTGAGGAATAAAGTAACGCAGCTTAAATATAATACCTATTTTCGTAAGAATATTATTACATAAATTGTGAATATGACTCTTCCAATATAAGTGTTTATCTAAAGTTATACCAACGAAAGACACTTCTTCAACTTCATTAATGGGTTGTATATGTATAAATAGACTGCCATTTCTGTACATTACCTTGCCTCTATAATGGAATAAAATATAATTCGTTTTGATATAGTTTATTGTCAACTTATTTGCATTACACCAGTTAGAAACTTTACTTAATTGCTCATTGGCTTCAGTTAAATCAATTATATTACCCGGAAAGTAATGAAATAAGTTAGAATCATCGGTAAATAAAGGAAAATCGAAATAATCAGTAGAATTTGGAAGGTCGTTAATGTACATCAAGAAAAGAACTGGGCCTAGGACTGAGCCTTGTGGTACACCATCGATCAATTCTCTGGGGTCATAGAGAATATTGTGGGAACAAACATACTGGGTCCTATTTCTTAAATAATCAGTTAACCAAATGAGAGGTTCTCCCCGAACACCATAATGGGATAGTTTGAAATTTAAATTTTATGATTAATGGTATCCATGCTTTACTAAAATCTATAAAAACTCCAAGGGAACAATTACCTTTATCAATGTCAGAAAGTAAAGTGTGAACTAATTTAATCATCGATAACTTTGTACTGTAACGCTCACGGAATCCATACTGATGGGAATAAAATAGGTTAAATTTCTCAAAGAATTCAGTTAATCTAGTACAAAATAATTTTTCAATAATTTTACTAAGTACAGGGAGAACTAAAATTTGGCGGTAGTTGCCGGGATTTTCTCTCGATCCTTTTTTGAAGATTGGTTGAACTCTAGCGTGCTTAAATGGAGTAGGGAACTTACAGCAGCTGAAAGACAAATTAAAAATATAACATAACGGCATTGAGATATAGGGTGCGGCAATCGATATTAATTTACCAGGCAGGTGATCAGATCCGGTAGCTTTACTCCTGTCAATAGCAATGAGTAAGTTATTAACTTCTGTTTGAGTATTTGGTTCTAAATAAAATGAATTGGTTACGGTACTGGTTGGGAGAGAAAATCGGAAAAATTGTTAGACGATGCTGGGATTTCGTTTGTAAGATTTACAGGTATGTTTGAAAAATATTCATTAATAATTTGTTCAGATGATTTCAGCATCATCTGAGTTCCATCAACGTTCTCATGGATGAGTTCATCAGGAAGATTACTGAATGATTTTGATTTGCCCTTTACTAGGATATTATTTATAATTTTCCATGTTTTGACAGAATTATTTGCAATTATAGAAAATAAGTTTGAGTAGTTATTTTTCTTTGCCGTTCTTATTAGTTTCGTTAGAGTATTTCTGTAACGTTTATATTTAGTAAATATGGTATGTTCGAAATTACTCTTAATTACTTTTGAGTACAACTTGTTTTATTTTTTATGAATCGATTTTTTAATCGCTTTGGAAATCCACGGTTTTATTTTGTTAATAGTTTTCAATGATTGGTTTTTAAATAGCGAATGTTTATTGCATCAGTCAAGAAATATAGAGTAGAATTGGTTATAGGCTAAATCAGTATCGTTGCATGCGTAAACGGAATCCCAAGAAATAGATAGATCATTTAAAAAATCATTCTGCTTAAAATGTTTATAATCTCTAATAGTAAGGAACGTATCAATACTGGTTTTATTGTCATTCATATAGTCAAAGATCGCAAAAAGTAGGAGATGGTCAGATATCTCTCAAGCAATTGTTCCTGAGATTATATTACTAGTTAATACGTTACTATACATATGATCAATAAGTGATTTGGATATATGACGGTTCGATGATTCTATTAATTGGATCATATTTGAGCATTCAAGAGCATTTAAATACGTATTTATTTCACTATTTCCTGTGTTAAATAAATTAATATTGAAATCACCTATCAAGATACATTGTTTCTTATCTGATTTAATTCCATTTAAAGTATTTAATAAATCTTCCCTGAAGTCGGAGACATTCGTCTTCCCTTTACGGTAAACCACCCAAATCACAAATTTTTCAGACCCATCGTCAATCTCAAACCACAAGGACTCAGAATTAAAAACGGAAAAGTCAAGTCGTTTGTACTTAACTGAGCTGCGGTGTATGTATGCTGCGACGCCCCCGCTTCTTCCGAGTTGGTTAACCATGGTCTGATGTAGGCTTCACAAGACTTTGAGTTGGCGGTTTAGGTGACTCAGTGACACAGAGACTTAATTTTTAAATACAGTAATAGGTGTATGTTACCTCTAATTGTTACCGTATACAAATGGTACTAATATACAGTATATGTTTACATCTACAGCGGGGAAGATGTATTGGTGTGATATAGTCTATGGAAATGTTGAACAAGCAAACTTGGACGGCTCAAATCGTAGAATTATTGGATCCAGTATGCGGCCTATCCAACCTGTAGTGTATGGTGATTATCTTTACTGGTGTGATAACAACGGTATATTCTATATGAATATTGAGGCTGGTATGGCATCTCAGGAACAAATCATTTTTTACGATGTATTAGATTCATATTATGGACTGGCTATAGGCGTATATGATGGTAATAATAACATGTCCTATCTTATTCTTACGAATACACACACACAACAATATATATA